TTGACTCAATTATATCATGATAAACATTTTTAATACGATCTAAACCATATTTTTAATTGATCGAATGCCTAACCTTGAATGTTTTATCTACCTTAAAAAGCGTAACTTTATGTTCCTCCAAATGATTAGAATCAAATTGTTTCTAAAAAATCAATAAACGAATAAGATTAGAAAAAACGTGCAAAAAAGGTTGTTTAATATATATATATATATATATTTTTTTTTTTTTACTAATAACATTAGTAAAGGCCTATATAAGAAAACAACTTAAGTTACTTTGAAATATTAGTTCAATTTAATTTATTTATTTTTAATAGTCCTTCTTATTAATAGATATATTAAATAGAAGATTATTAACTACACATTAATCCAAATCAGTATAACATCAATTAACATAAGTTGTGTCGGGTCATTTTTTGTTTTCATYGTCTACAAGAATAATAAAAGAATTTACAATGATAAAATTAAAACTTTCAAAGTATAATTAATATAAATATAAAAGTAGAAAATGATAATATGATATATAGTACAAGTGAAATAATTTTATAAAGTGTCAAAGCAAGTATGATCTCTAATAAAGAGGTTGTGAGTTCGATCTTTATTCCCACGTATTGTACTAAAAAAAATTATAAAGTTAAATTTAAAAAAAATTACAAGTAACGGAATGTGAAGAAAGTGATACATATGGGTTTTCTAATAGGAGTTGAGAGTAATTATTATCATTATTATTAAATATTATTTTTGTTCTTTAAAAAGGCATTTTTAGTCATTACTCCCCCATCAACTTGCAAATCACAAGGGTAAAATTATGTGCAAGACTTCACTCTCAATAGAAAGATTGTTCATTAGTGAGTATATTATTCAGATATATTATTACATATAGAATTTTCGTAGATTCCGCTGCGCTAATAAGAGATTAATTATCGTTGTACTCAAAAAAAAAAAGAGATTAGTTACCCTTACGCAAAATATTCAACATTAATATGAAAGCTATAGTTTTGATGTAATTGGAGTTTATATAATAGACACAAATCAAATTATGATGTATGATTCTAATGTTTGTTCTAATATATATCTTTTTCACTTAAAAGGAGTTGACCTTTTCTTTTTTTGGATTTTTTTTGACAAAAATAATGAAAAGCAAAAAAGTTCAATTGAGAATAATACTTAATTTACCCGTTTTAAATGTCCCAATGGGACCATGCAAGTTGACTTGAGATGATTTTTTCTGAAAAAGAAAGAAAAAAAACAAATTGAATTGTGGTGTAAAAGTATCAAATCAAGAAGACTTTACACTATTCACGAGGATAAGCCATGGAGTTTGGTGATTTGACAAATGGGACACACCCTTCAATCACGCGACCTTCTTCAACATTTAATTTTCCGCTGTTAATTAAATGACTTTTAATAATTTTCATTTTCTTTCATCATCAGATTCATGAATATTATATGAATATGCAAAATTCCAACCTTGTGAATTCCAATTCTTTTGCCCACGTGGCCCTTCTATTCTCTTTATTTCTTTTTTTTTTTTCCCTTTTTCTCTCTCTATTCTGTCTCCGTGGGTTTGTTCCTCTACCTAACTGCCCATTAAATATCCCATGATATTTGTTCAACAATTCACTATGATAATTCTCTCAACAAATTAAAAGAAAAAAACAATTTCACTTTATGAAAAATTGATTGCATTGTATTTTCAATTCCAAATACTTTAACTTCAGTTTCAGTTATAATTTAATATCTATATACAACTTTGAATCTAACTCAACTGGTTAATTAAAATACATTGCTTCGTTTAAAAAGTCTTGTTAAAGAAAAGATTAATATCTATATAAGTTTAGATTCATTATCTCAAATAATCTCTGACGAAATGTTGGACCAACATTTAGTTTGTCAAGATCTAATATCTCAAGTACATAGTCTATTCTCTCAAATTACTCTCGTCACATACGACCCCAATGTCAGTTGGTCAATATTTGTCCCTCACCAAATTTTTCTATCACTAAAATAGAATAATAATAACAAAAGTTAACTACATCACAAATTATGACCAATGATCATTGAACTGGTAAAAACATAAAGAGGGATTTTTGAAAAAGATAGACTCAAGCCTCATTTTGACCACCAACCTTTGTATACTAAGATCACATAAACTTTTTGACAACTAACTTCTGTAAGGTGAGATGATTGTTCTATAAAACTAGTCACTTGTTAAAATAAGATATCATGTTATGAACCTTATATTAAAAGTAGCGAGAAAGTTCAAACCTTTCGGAGGTAAATAAGGTCTGATAAATATTAAAATGGATTAAAACATAAAATTTAAAAATGCATGAAAGAAATGACGTCTCAAAACACCATAAAGCTAAGAAAAACGAGGAGGCTTAAAATTAAAAAAAAAAATGAAAATAGGTTTGATGGATGACAGTGCCGACATGACAAAAAAGCAATCAAATAATGTGCATAGAAAAAAAGGCAATATTATTAAAATAATGTCCCCTCCTTGACCACGTCATCATTGAATTCGAATCCAAAAACGCACAGCAGACAAAAAGGAGTGGTTCCTTTGCGTTCTTCTTTTTCATCTCACAGCACATAAAAGACTAAATTGCTCTACGAACTACAAATCAAATCTGAAACGGTGGAGGCGGTTGTGGGCCCCGGCCCGATGACGTAGGCTGCTTTGTCCTGGTCTAACTGGGCCGGGCTGTCATGGCCCGAAAGGCAAAGCCAAGTTGCCTTCGCCTGCCTTCCTTCTTCTTCTGCCTCACCCGTCGTTATCTACTTGATTGTTTAAAATATCGGAAAAGTTTGTCACATTGTATTTAATTTCATTAAATTGAGCTCTAATTTTGAGGGATAGTTATAAATATTGCAAAAATGTTTAATAAAATTGACAAAATAGCAACAAYATTTAGTTTTTTTTTTTAAATATAGCATTTAAAAAAAATAGAGATCAAATTTTAAAATGACAACTTTACCAAAATGATATACATCTATAATATGTGTGACGACTGATATATGTATATGATATATTACTGATATGAGTGTTTGATATATATGTGATATAAATCTGATAGACTATTGATATGAGTGCACATGCAATATGTATAATATACTAGTGATATAAATAAATTTTTTTTACATATCTAGTGATATAAATAAAATTTTTTACTATTTTTGAAAATTTAAAAAATAAGTGATATATTTCGAAATACATAAATAACTTTGGTTATCCACCGCAATTTTCCTAATTTTATATTATTTTTAATTTTTACTCATTTAACTACTAATTTTAATATAAGTATCTAAAAAATATTCTAATTTGAATAAAAAAATTTACAGAAAGTTAAATTGGATAGGTGATATAAAATTTGATCATTAAATCACTTTTCCAAAATTCACTAGTTTTAATAAAGAAATCAATATTTTTTTTTCTTGAAAATTTATCAATTTTGTATAAGACCTACGACACGTGCAAATATATTTTTGACTTTTCTTCGAATCGAAACTTATAGATGAAAAATATAATACTGATTCTAATATGAGATAAATATTGCAATATTTAATATTTAAATACATATATATATATTGCAATATTTAACTAATGAAATTTAAAATTAAAAATAGTAGTTGATATAATTTGTCAAATGGTAAAAGAAAAGGTCTCGCTGTCTTTTTGTGTTGAGAGCTACGTGTCAAATTGTGCTTACTTCACCCAGTCAAATGCAGAAAACTTGGTCAACCTTGGCTTCTTCTATGAGTCGTGTCGTGTCACTATGTGACGCAGTCACGCTGGAAAATTTCGACTTTATCCACCGCATTTCACTTGACATTTTCCTCTATAGACTAAATTAGATATTTTATTTCTATTTTTGAAATTTAATTATTATTTTTGTCCCTTTGAAAGCTATTCTATTTTCCATCTATTTTAGTTTATTTTATTTTGATCTTTTTAAATTGTAAAATGAATATTTTACTTATGAATTTAAAAAAGAATCGTTTTAGTTTTTACCATTATATTACCGCTAATTGTTTAATATATCAATAATGTGGTTTTATGAATTTTATACACTGGCAGGGACACACATTAGAATATAAGTTGGTTTAGGTCAGTTTGGAGAGCAAGAACAAAAATAGTTATTTTTTTAATGTTTAAAAATTAAAATAGACCTTTTCAAATTTCAAACACCAAAATTAACTTGAAAATTCAAAACTAAAATGAGATTTAAACCTTTTTTATTAAATTGGTATTTTAATCAATGTTTCTTATTAGGTGTTACAGTTTATTAATAACCTACATATTTGATATTATTCTTTTTCGCTGATTGATTTTGTTAGTCCTAATTTTAATATTACCCCGATTCACCTGGTACTAAATAAAATTATGTCAAGTGTTAATATTATAAGATCTGAAAAATGAAGTCTCGATAATTTTAATATTAACCTGACTCACCATGTTCTAAATAAAGTCATGCAAAATATGAATTCTTTCTTTCGAAAAAGTTCAGCTAGCCTTAGCCCAAAGCGATGGTTTAGTCCTTGATTATGGATATAAATTGAAGTAGAGAAAGCCAACTAGTCCAACAAGCCTTAAATTTTATTTTTCAAAGGTTAAGTATTTGGCAAAAGGAAAAAGAAGAAAAAAAAAAGGAAAAAAGATGATGAATCACATATTTATGAAAGGTCTTCATAAATAAATTTTAAACATAATAAGAAAATCAACAATACAACTAAAACAGATATACAGCAACAAAAATACCACATGCCTCTCATAACGAGACAAAACATTCCGCTCATTTATGAAAATGTCAAGCGAACACTATCAACAGTCGAGATCTAAATTTCAACCTTCATAGTGGTGACTTAGAGATGTTTATAATTATCATTCATTTCAACCAACTTCTCATCATCTTTCTTCAACCTCAATGTCATGTATTTCTTAGTACTGGGGTGCAAAATTGGCTTGGTTGACTCGTGTTGTTCGAATCAGTTTAACATAATTTATAAACCGAAAGTATTTGAATCAAGTCAATCTTGAACAATTCAACCAGTTTTTAGTCAATTTTGCCCTCCGTTCTCAAAAACTTAAGCTCATCGACCTTATTCTAAATACTCAAAAATGGTCCCTTTGAACCATTACTACTGATACAATGATCAAACAACCATTTCACCATCATCGCAAAACACTAAATGATCCATAACAAGAATTGCATAAACACCTAAAGAACTAACATGCTCGGTCAATACTAAGCAAAAATGCTTACAGAAAAGATGATACAGACACTTGGAGAAATCTAGGATGGCACATTAAGCCCTTTTTTTCCTGACATTTGACTGTCCAGCACCAATGATGTTAGCCTTGTTCGAGCAGGCCACGAGCCCGCGTAGTGTAGCCAAAGCTCCCAAACCGAAGAAGGGGAAGTATATCGTCAACAAAGTATTAGATGCCCGGTTCGACCCAACCATTTCACCCATTATAGCAGACTGAAATTACACAATCACAAGATGTAATGTAAGAATAGAAGAAGCTGATTTGAAGTAATGCTTCTCTAATAGATCTCTACAGGGTTAATCAATAAAGCAGAAGAATCCTTTTTAATATATGGTCAAAAAGAGTTTCACAAGTGTTTAAAATACCTAATAGTTCCTTAAAGTTTGTTTTAAAACTATCCCAATGCAGTCAAGAGTGCTGATTGCCTAAAGTTGAAACAATAGGGTCTCCTTAGTTTATCAAGAATACAGTTCTCAGGGCAAGTTAAAAAATGTCTTGTAGTTTAAAAAATCTATTTTTGTTTTTGAATTTGGATCAAGTATTCAAAAACGTTTTTGAAGACTTTAAAAACAACAAAAATTTGTGAGTAAACAAGTCTAATTTTTGTATAAAATTTTAAATTATAAGCATGGTTATTGAACTCTCGCAACTCTGAAATTCTGAAACTTTCAAGAACATGTCTATTTCAACTCTTTGAATTGTCTATTTAGCACACACACTCTAAACAGATTCTAGTAGGCTCTTAGAATTTTGTGTCTAGTGGGTCATTTTAACTCTACTTGTTTAATGTTCACAACATTAGATGCCTAAACTTGCCCGAAATCATCATGTCAAATAATCTTCAAATAATATAACATGTCCTTAAGCATCGGACAGAGTCAAACGTAATGATCTATTAGACACAAAATTGAAAGTTAAAGGATCTATTAGAAACTTAAGTGTAACGAAACCTATTAGAAACTAAATCATAGAACTAAATAGCCACAACCCTGAAAGTTCATGTACCAAACTTCTAATTTAGCCTTTAAAAAACCATCCTGCAAAGCTGTCTCAAATCACCATGCTGTCCAGAGTCGAACAAAACCAAACTACATACATTAGGCATCAAGAAATAGCGTCCTTCGTACCAATTATTAAGCTCAAAACAGATCCATAACGGAATCAACAGAAACACAAGACGTGGGCAGAAACGTATTGAGTTAATCTAATCAAACAATAGAACAGACTAGATTACCATGCTAACTAAGAATAAATAGCAATCATTTCATAAACCACATTATACGATGAGAAATAGAAAATACCATGGAAGCCAAAACAGAGACACCATAGATCAAGCAAGTGGTGTTGAACCATGGCTTGGCAGCCAAGAAGGCGTAGAGATTGAGAAGCGTGACGGGCCATTGAAAGAGGAGCTCGAAGCAAACGAGGCCGGCGAAGAAGTGCGGTGGCTCACTCATCAGATAATCCCCCGATTGGCGGATGTACCAGCTTTTGAGATCGACGACAAAATTGGGGAATAGGGTTCGAGGAAGAAGAAGCTGGAAATCGATTAGAGGAGGCGCCAGTGCGAGTACGATGAAGAAGAGGAATAGTATCGCGTCAACGAGCTTGAGAAGAGCCCCCATTTCTGAACGGAGTTTCTTCTCCCTCTTGTGTCTGGGAGAAGAATGGTGATTCTGGATTTGCTGGACGAAATGGGGATCTTGGGGGCGTTGAATTCTCAAGGGGATTTTTTTAACTGATTGGAACTGAGTAAGTTTGAAGAAATTATTGGACTGGAACAGGTGGCCATGATCTCTTTCCCGTATTTCTCGGAAAACTTAGGGTAAATCTCCCGATTTATCACTTACTACTTACCACTTCATCGTTGGAAGTCATAAAACGAATCTAGCTGATAATTAACATATATCTTCAACTAAGAGTTTATGATTTAGTCAAACAGGACAAGATTATTCTTAAAGAGTAAGTATATTCCCATGATTTTATATTTTCTTTTACTTTAATGGTATATAATAAATATACCGTCTCAAACTATAGATAAAATGCAATAAGAAAAGTTACACTTATACTATATTAAAAAAAAAGAGAGAACAAAAAGTTGATACTATAGAATTTTATTTTTAAAAAGATAATGTTAGTGTAGAAATCGCATTAAATATATTTACCAATTGAATTGTATTTAAAGTAACTAAAAATAAAAAGAGAGAAACCTAAAAACATTATGGTTCAACTGTGCAGATAACAATTTTATTTTCTTGAGAGAAAAATGATAACGGCGGAAAAAATATCCCAATCTAACTACAACATAAAATTTTGAAAAAAAAAATAAAATTATCTTAATGTGCAACTAGAATAAGAAACAAGAGTTGGTATAATAAAAATGGTCTCAACCATAAAATTACTAAATCGGATAATAATTTTGTTAAGAGTATAAATAATCTAATTGAAGTACTTATTTCACCACCTATTTAATTTAGGTGTCAATGAGATGGAGTAAAAAATTTAAAGTTAAAATGCAGGCAAAGGGTGAAAAAGTAAATTTACCCAGTTTTTCGAATCCTAATTATTCTGTTACTTACCTTTTTACTTGAACCAAAATCTTTTAACTTAAATAAGATTTATCAGTAATAAAGTAAACTAAAACGCAAAAAAGATGATTCATACACTTGGGAAAGCCCTCTTTTTCCTGTCATCTATTGGTTTGGTGCCAATGATGGTAAGCCTTGCTCGAACATGGCATGAGCTCACACGCATAGCAATAGACTATTAGATGTCCAATTTGACCCAACCATTTCACTCATTACACAGACTCAAATTACATAGTCACATGATGAAGGTAAGAAACATAACAAGTTAAATTGAAATAACAGAATGGAACATAAACAAGTCCCCTTTTTTACTGACTTAAGCTGAAAAACCATCAAGCTCGAAACTGGAGAAGAAAATGCAGCACTAACTTTCTCTTATAATATAGGTTTCTCTAACCAATTTCTGTCAAATCCACTGTGAATCTAATGGTCTAACCTAATAGGGATGAATCTGGACCACTGTTTAAAGGAGAATAACCTCCCACCATCGAGATGAACTCGTACATAATTTCACTCTCATTCACAACATCAAATCCATCCCAGGAAAATTTTTTATAAAAAGAGGATCGGGCCGTCTTTATTCTCTGATACATGAATTTCCCATTGGCTCCTACCTCACATTAGAAGCACACTTGTACTCCAATTCCATCCAACACGCAATCAGCCTATGTTGAAAGAAACTATCCCTACTAAAATTTAGTGTATGCCTGTCAGTTTAGTCCGATCTGACAATTTTTTTATTAAATTTTTTATATATATAGATCGATAAATCTATAATTTCTAAACTATGTTTATAAATTATAAAGATTAAATCATTATATGATAAAAATTGACATTTAATTTTGGTAAGATGTATCACAAGAGAAATTAAATTGTTACAAATTTTTAACTAATAGGGACTAAATTATTAAATATTAAAGTTTAGAGATTAAATTGTTGTCAATTATCGATGTGTTTTTACGCGATGCACCTAAGTTTGTTTTGAATGCCCTTTTGAAACATGACTTTAAAAAATTTCCATGTCTGGGTATCCTCACTTTTACACTTTTTCCTTTCATCTTTTATATATATATATATATATATATATATTTTTTTTGTTTTCTTTCATCTCGAAGACAATTCCAGCATCTCCATGTCCATTCCAGCATCTCCCTGTCCATGGTATAGTTTGCCGCTAATAACTGTCTTGATTTATTTTTATTATTATTTTTAGTACAACATGTGGAGGTGTTATATCGAACTCACAATCTTTTGGTTGAAAATATATGTTAATTACCATTTAGTTATGCTCATTTTGTCTTTATTGATAAGCTAGTGTAGGTAAATATGATTGACATACAAGGTTAAAAGGAAAATCATGTAAAAATATATAAATAATGGTACAAAATTTTTAAAAAATTACCATATTTGTAAGATCATAAATCTATTGTTATATTTAAAAATATGCGAATTTAACCCATTAAAAATTTTTAAAATTATTTAAAAGACAAAGATTAAAATAAAATAAATATAAAAATTTTAAAACTGAAAATAAGATTTAACCAAAAAAAAAACACCACCACGAAACAGGGGTAGTATCGAGGTTTCATTAGATTTGCATCCTCTCCTCTCGTAGCAGACCATTAATTTGAATTCTTCACTGGGATAGGCTAATGGCTTCCACGCTATCCATCCCCTTCCAAACCAGGTAAAAGCCCTAAATTAGTTCACAATATTGTCTTTCTAGGTTCAAATATCTTAGTATCAACTGTTGGTGGACTTGTAATTTATTATATTTTCTGAGCATGAATCTTGGGGGTTAACACCAAAACCCCCAAGATTAGTCCACATGCAGGTCACGAGGACTCGAACATGAACCTTGGGGTTAACACCAAAACCACTTGTGACTGTGCTGACACCTAGAGTGTGACTAAATTTGTTAGTGGATGGATATTATGTGTCCAAAATAAAGTTGTGATTTAAACAAGTTAAGCAAGATTAGACGACGTCGTTTGGCGAAGTCCGTAGCTTTCCAGCGGAGTGGAACTCAACGCTTATAAAACAACGTCGCGCCGCCTGCAAGCTGAAATTGAATCAAGTTCACATTTCCATTTGCCGGTGCGCACTGTTCGCATTTTATCCGAGTCTAAGAGAAGATGAGTGAGGCAAGGCCTGTTCGGAGGAGAGAAAGTCCATGGGGGATGCCGGAGGGCGAGGATCGCCAACCTAAGCCTCACAGATGCAATGACAGAGCTGAGGATGTCATCCAAGTAAACTTTCACATTCTTCAAAATCTCTCTAATGGTTCATATTGCTTGCTTATTTTTTCCACATCATTGCATCTAGTCTTCTTCTTGTTATTTAATGTCATGTTTTCGTCTTTTTTTTTTCCTTCTGAGTTCGATTTTTTCCTAATGAACGGATTCGAGAAATTAGTATCGAAATGATGACGGAGTTTGTCTTCGCTAGGTAGGATGCGATTTATTTCAACGATCGCTTGAATCGATACGAATCATTCTCTTCAGTATTCAGTTTCCTGATGGAATTGGATTGTTATGTGTTTTTCCGGGGGGTTCTGGTTGTACCTTATATCACTGAGAACTTTTGGTTTGAATTTTAGTAGTCGGAAGTAGGTTGGACGGAATTTAAAATGCCGTTAGTAATTACTGAGTACAAGAACATCTCGTTTACGCTAACAGCAAATTTACTGGAAACATAATTGCAGTATTTTAGGTAGCAGTGAGGTTTATTTGTTAAATCTCTGGACGAATCGGATGGCAAAGAAGATCGGAAATTATGCGCTGCCTGGAAATAATTATTTTGTTGGAGGTTCTTTTGTCATTCGGAAAGGAGATAATCATTCAAACTTTCAGTAAATTATGATCTTCAAACTAGAGCTTTCAGCGTAGTGTTCCACTTAGGTCTTCCTACATTTACCTATATTCTGCAAAAAATAAGAGAGAATAGAAAATCCGTTCACCTCTCCTCTGCGCTGACACCTCCAACACAAATACGCATAAAGGTATTCGGTTGTAGAATAAGATCTCTAATACTAATGTTTGGTTTTCGATCATGGTACATTATCGAGGATTTCATTTGTTTTTCAGATTCGATATTCTATTCCTTAAAACTACAATGTTGTTCTGGAACCTCATTACCGTTTAATTCATAGTCTCTGTATTAGGCTATCATATTGCCAAGCAAGTTATTGTCCTAAATACTGTTCCGTTTTTCGGATTTTCCACTACTTGTCTTCAATTATTTATTGTTGGACGTTCTGGCAAAAAAATGCTCTCAAGGGGAAAATATGTATGGAAGTCCTTTACTTGTCCTTTTTTTAACTGAATTTGCCTTTTTGCTGTTTATAATTTTTGTTGAAATCAAGTTCTTGAAAATAGAGAGGAACTGAGGAGACAGAATCGTAAGGCAGCTTTGGCAGGACGAGTCAATTTAATGTCCCTTCCATTTGCTCGGACAACTCATCATCCTTTCAATTGAAGGCTCTTTAAAAATTAAAATTCAATTCACTTAGGATTACCTGCTACGGAGAGAACTAAATATTTTAAAGCTGAAACACCCCCTTTGCATTCCAAAGATCCCCAACCTCAAGTTCTCTACTAGGATACAAGTTGATTCTGCCAACCACTCTCTTTGCAAGAGAAAACCAGATAAGAGTTCAAAAGGCTTGATTTAAGTTAAGAAGATTCACCACTTTTAGCTTTGTTAAAGAGGATAATAAGAGGAAGTCGTCAGAAAGTCATTAATGGAATAACCGGATTTATTTTCTTGACCAAGAAGACTTCGTATTTCTGTGCCAAACCCCTTTATCCATCAATCTTCTAAAGGATTGAGTTGATCATCTTGCTGCTCACTTCTAGATGGGATGAATTTTCCTTTAGGTATGCCATTAATTAGTAAACAGAAATTAGCACTAGAAAGACACGGCTCTCCACCTAGGGCCAGAACATTTCAGCTCGACAACTTTATGAAAGAAGGTCCAATAAAAATTGATGTAAGCTTTTTCAAGATCTACTTTTAAAACTATTCCTTTCTCCTGTTTTCTCTGATAAGAACCATCTTCATGGATGCAAAATTACCAGAAACAAGGGAAAATTCGAGAGTTCCCTGCTCTCCCTTGAAAGCTAGATAACGATCCTCAGAAAAAAGATACCAAAAAGCATAAACCTCTCCCTACCCAAAACAGAACGTTTAAAACCCCTCTAACTAACAATATTCTCTTGGGCCTACAAAAACAGCAGTGCACGCTCCTTCTGTGCCTTACGTATTCCTAGCCCCCTTCCACCTAATTTCTTCCGTACATATACTTTGGTAATGGAAGGCCTAACATTTTCCTTTTCCAATAACTTCATTAGTTACGAGAATAGGGATCGACAATTTGTCTCCCACAGATAAAAAGATGATCATGTAATTGAGTTGATGGAAGTGATGATTTCCTTTGAATCGCTCTTTCGACACTCGAACAACAATGTCATGGCGCAACACAAGTGGTAAAGCTGAATTGTTAGGTTGGTGATGGTAATATAGACAATATTGGCTACTTTGGGGACAATACTGAAAAAGTTTCATTAATGTAATTGTAACATTAATAATTGCATATCAATTAACATTTGTAGATCTGTTCCAATTTTCTTTTACAGACTAAAAAATCATGAAAAGACATCCATCAAGCTCTACAAAATCATGCTTGAAGATGTTTCACTTACCCTTTTTTACAGACTTAAGCTGAAAAACCGTCAAGCTCGAAACTGGAGAAGAAAATGCGGCAGTAACTTTCTGTTATAATATAGGTTTCTCTAACCAATTTCTGCCAAATTCACTGTCACTCTAGTGGTCTAACCTAATAGGGATGAATCTGGACCACTGTTTAGAGGAGAATAACCTCCCACGATCAAGATGAACTCATAGATAATTTCAATCTCATTCACAAGATCCGATCCATCCGAGGAAAAATTTTCGTACTATTGATAACAACCTTATGGAAGAAAGGTTTATTTCGGCTTGTATTCCTTCATACCAACTCTAGCAGATTGGATTTCGGTGAAACTCACTTCAGCTATTCAGTAAAATGTTGTCTGACTGACATGGAAAGTCAAAGGTGAGAAAGAACGAGGGAGCGTGATAGAATTCATTTTTGGTATTCTGGTGCATTTTAAAGAATAAGGCAAAGAATATATTCACACATGCGGATGCGCGAGCAATTATAGCAAACCAGGCACATGTCAATACGGTGAAATTATCTTGCATGTACAAGAACGACCATGATAATATATCATATTACAATCAGATGTATCCTCTTGAAAGAATGAGGGGGTGCAGGCGTTGTGTGTGAAGGTGGTCGAATTTCATAAATGGCGCTCATTATTATTTTGTTCGTCTTGTAGGCTGTTTTTGAAGGGAACCCGTTTAAGACTGTTCCAGGGCCATTCAAGCTGTTCTGGCAATGCATGCGCTCTAAACCTGGGTATGATTTTGTTTATTATAGCGTTGTTTGTTTGTTCTCAAGATAGAATCATTAATTCGTTCAGTAAATATGCGGACTTGGCTTTACTTTTCAAGAGAGATCGGCAATGGAATCGGTACTAGAAGTCTAGAACCGCTTTGAACTCAGAAAATTTGTAGAACAGTTTCTTAAAATAATATATCAATGAAAGTGCTACTGTTATATTGGCCATGTGATCTGGTTTTGCAGGGAGGAACCAACGGAGCCATATACATATTTGGATTTGGAGCCTCCGAAGAGAGAGGTGAAACTTGAGTAAGAATTCGACATCAATCCATGAATGTTAAATTTTCTATTTTGATATACTTGTTTCTTGTGAATTTTAGATGAGAACTCAATAGATAGATCATGCAGTAAAATGGTTGATGGGATAGCAGTAATAATGATTAGGTTGGAACAGCTTGTAAGCTTCCAAACCTTGTTGAATATGGCAGAATTTTTTACAATATGTTTTTTTTTTTTGGTCATGTCGGACACTATACAACTCTTTTGCATGCCAATGATTGATGTGATGTTGGAATTGCGCTCATAGATGCCTTGACCTAAGCGCTTTACATTGAAGCCCGTTTGTTGATTTTTTTTTTCTTTTTTGTTTTTGGAAAAAAAAATGTTTGATAGCTTTTGTTTTTGTTTTTTTTAAGGATGCCAATATATATATTTTTTTAAACAATGAATTTTGCATCACGATAATGATCAAATTATAATTTTATTTTATTTGTATGGTTTTCAAACTTTATGAGGGGAAAAATGAGAGATGTGAGGTAGAGAAAGAGAGATAATTCTGAGAGAGAAGGGAGTGTTTTTTAGGGAAAAGGAATAGTTCAAGAGGGGAAATTAATGTTTTAGAGAGAAAGATAAGCTAGAGGGGGAATAAATGCTTTAGAGACAAATTTTGAAGAGAGAAGAAAAAGATAAGAGAAAGAGTGTATAGAGAGAAAAAACAAAAATCTAAATTAGTAACTCAGAATTAGTTTTTGGTTTCTATTTTGAAACTTGTGCTGATGTACTAATTTTTTCCCCCTAATTTTACTTTCAACATTTAGTAGGTGTTGTTTCATCATATTATATTTCTTGTCTTTTTGGTTTTTGGAAAACAAAAAGGTGGTTTGATAATTCATTCCATTTTCGATTTTTAAATTAATTTTTTTGTTTTTGGAAATTGTAAAAGAAAATAGATTTTATTAATAAAATCACTTTTTTTTTTCTTTCGACACTCATTTCTCTCTTGTTTAAGGGTGTACATGAGTTGGGTTGAGTATGTACATTTTTTGAATCATAGTTCTGTAAATGAAGTGTACAACTCAACCCCTATATTTTTTAGATGGGTTATAGGCTTGTTAAGATTTTGGAATCTCCTTTTTCTTTTCTAATTTTTTTCTCTCTAAAAATTTTTCCTCATTTTTCCCTCTCTCTTTAATTGACCTTCCTTCTAACATATAGATGCCATTTTCTCACTTTTTCTAAGAAACCTGATTATAGTTAAAATATTTATCTTCGATCAAAAGGTTGTGAGTTCAAATTTCATCTTTACACTTAAAACAAGATATCTCTAACTTTTATCTCGCTCTCTTCTTTTTATTTTATTTTTTTATTCTTTGTCTCTCATTTACTCTATGACTATCACTCTCACTTCTCTCTAACATATTTTCGCTGTAATTTTTCTAATTTTCTCACTTTTAACTTTATATAAACCAGAACACCAAAAACAATTATAGAAAATAAAGATTTGGTTTTAAACTAAAAACTGTTATCAATTTGGTTTTCTATTGTTTGAGAAAAAAGAGAAAAAAAACCAAAAAACTATTATCAGTATAAAAACGAAAAGAATTCGAAGTCAAAAAAACCAAAATAGTGATCAGACAAAGTTTTCTCAAAATCACTTTTATTTTTCTTAATTTGACCAAGATTAAATGCAAAAAAATTAAAACTGTATATGTATAATATGGTAATCTGTCTTTAATCGATTTTCTTCGTCTAGTAACACAGAAAATCTAGAACAAAAATGGCCCAAAGTAGTTATTAATGTCATTTAATTTCTTAGATGCTTAGACCAATTAAGGTACACTATGCAAGATATGTACCATGCTACTATTTTAGTGATATAGATGGGATTACATATGTACATGTACGCACCATGAAGTCCATCTAAAACTAATGGAGAACGAGAAACAAATGGCAAGCAAAAGCGATTCATCTTTGATTCATACTCGAGGTCCCCATCTGTACCTCTGGATCAATCTTATTCACAGCCTCTCGAGAATGTTTCTGGAGGTTGTCTCCATTTTGAGTACCACCATGTGACCCTCGAAACAAGTTCTTGATGGCTTCTTCCTTCTCGTCAATAAAGCTTATAAAGCTTTGAATGGACCGAGTACAGCTAGTGTGTGATGTAATGGGAGATGGCGTAGTTTCCTCAAAATGACGACGATGTCGTTTGTAGCGGATATACTGGCGAACTAATAATAGAAGAAACACGAAAAGTGCGGCAACAGAAATGATTCCACAAAGCAAATACAAACCCCAGAAGCTGATCAAGTGAAGTTGGTCTGGCTCTGATTTTCCTCTCCGCTCACCAGGACAACCGAGCTTACAGAACCAGGAGTCATGTAGCTCTTGAAGCTTTCCACTCTCAGAAAGCCTCAAAATTGCCGTCGACATATCAACTGCAAGTCGAGATTCTCGCTGAAAAGCCTATTATACAGATAACAAGGAGAAATATGTGAGCAGTATGAAGATTAGCCATGGTCATTGTTTCTAATAATATTAGTTAACTTGAAGATGTGCAAGAAAGATAAATTTCCACTTTTGCTATCCGATCTCCATTAAATTGTTTCGCTTTGTCATTTACTCGGAAGAAAATTAACAAATTTTAGTTAATGTTATCTTGATAGCATAAGCATCAAATTGCATAAATAAGGCATTTGTTAATATATGGTTATAAACAGTGTGTAATGTTAATGCATATATTACGAATGAACGCATCAAAAATAGATGATACTCACAAATCCCCATCCGCTCCTGGTAAAAGGTTGCCCGATCATTCCAAATTCTTTTGTATTCGACAGAAACAGCTCCACATATGGAAGTTCATCGATGATCGCTGCTACACCGCCTCCTTTTGGCCCGACCCGGAGCGCTCTCTCGTAATCCTCTGGGGTGTAGAGCATCACGAGTCTGGAACGTGGTATGAAAAGGCTGTCTGTCAGATAGCTGTAAGCGAAAGAACCTACCTGATATCCTATTGGCAAGTTACTTGCAATCAAGTCATCAATTCCAGTTATCGACGAAGGAAGTTGCTGAATGGTTAGGATTGATGTCAAACTTGCCGTGTAGCTTGACGTTATTACCAACAATAGGAAGAGCCACACCAACATCACCAGTCGTGAAAGTGGGCTAATTGTTGCTTCTTCTGTTTATTCAACGATGAAGGCACAATATGATCAAATTTAACGGAAGTTTAGAGAAGATATGAAAGGATAATATGGATCATTCTTCTCTCTCTTTAACGAAAGATCTGAAAGAACCATAAAATTTCGAAACAAAACCCAAAAAAGAAAATTCAAGGTTCGTTCGGGTAAGCTATACTAAACAACTTGCTAAAAGATTTGGTTCTCATCATCTCTCTAATGTGTCAGTGTACTACCATAGAATGCAAAAATGCAAAATCCTTTCAACCGATTAATTAACAATCAATAAACTTGAGACTTCTCAACGAAGGCCTCCTTTCCAAATATTTTTCAAGTATAACTGATGCAGATTAGAAGTTTTTGATTCGCTTATATTGAAATTCTTCCGGTTGATATTATGCTTCCTCTTAATGTCATGCATTTCGCACCATGATCTTAAGAGAGTTTTATGTTCAATGTATGAATTCTAATAAACAACATTTGAGACAAAAGGGCATTAGAGAAGCAGTTGATTTGAAATCCAAATTACCGAAATCAAAAAAGGAAAAGAAAAGAAATTTAAGGGGGAGGGCTTTAAAGTAATAGACTTACGATTTGCCTTGAACAGAGTTGAAAAGCTGAACCTGCAACACACAACAACGATTGTTACGTATAACCTCAAATTCTTCTTGAAAAAGAAACAAAAGAATGGCAAGAGCACTGTGAGGGAATCCACAAAAGGCTTACAGACACATTGTGATAATCTGCCTCTTTGGAGGACCGCGAAAATGGTCGTTGATTCGGTGCTCGAGAATCCAAATAACAATCCCAATAATCACAAAAGAAGCTGCAGTTACACACCACATCTCCACTGTAAATGGTCTAAGAAAAACCCAAGCACTTGATTTTGAATCTTCAACTGGGGCAACTATGATTAGCCCAGTAGTGGTATATGGTTGAGAAAAATCAACAATCTTTGTACGGTTGGTAACAATAGCAATGTCCCCGACAGCTGCATCAAACACCTAGCACCAGAAATTTTCAAAATTAGCAAGCCATTACAATACATGTTAATCGCAGTTGGAGTTCAGAAAGTTCAAATGAATAACATTCTACTCATACTCACATGATCGGCAACCGACTGAACAAGTTCATCATAATTGGGATTGGCTCGACCATCCCCGAAAGGCACAAATTCGTAAGGGACATCATATGGAATAAACTTGAGGGCTTCTTTGAAAACATCAATAGTGTATCCTCGAACTACATTGCTGTTGTTCAATTGAGTAACAAAATCAACAAAGCTTTCTCTTTTTGGGAACGCGATTCTGAGGGGTCTTCCAGCATCCGCAATCACCCAACCGCGTGGTGTTTCTGTCTTTCCACCAGGCCAAACCACACTCTCAATTTTCTGATTTAAGCGAGAATAATCCTCTTGCTTCAATGTCAAATCTTCTGGAGGTGAAACCAATAGCCCCGAGTAATTAGACCAATAACCTACTGTATGAAATCCCTTTGAGTCAATATTAATGACATCATAGCTACCATTGATAATATTTCTGTCTGCATCAAACTGAATTCGACCACTTAAACCAGTGAAATTTGTTCCCATAATAATCCTAAGCAGATCACTTCCGCCATCAAAAACTTTAAGCTTTCCCAGTTGAATTCCACTTGCACTGGAGCCAAATACTTTACCTTGGGACGAAAACGTGATGTTGCCATTTTCTTTGAGAAACTTGTCGACTGCCCTGGCAACAACCCATACCGAATCATAAGCATAGAGTCCATAAACATTCATCACAGAATCGGCCAAAGCCCTTTTTCCTTCAGAATCTGGAGTATGAGGGCGTAGCCCAACTACCCCATGAAGGATATCAAGTGAAGCACTATTGGTTGGCGAAAAGGAATCTAAAGTAGCAGCAAGCCAATCAGTCGCAAACCAAACGTAATTGCTGGTCATCATATCAAGCTTCTGGGCGATTTTGAAGATTCTTAATTGCGGGTCAGGGCCTACATGAACGACATAAACGCGTGGACCAAGCAATTTAGAATTATTAAGTGCCTCCGTGATCTGACTTAGATTAGCCAGAGAAGGCAAGGCAAATTGATGAGAAATACGACACATTTTCTTCTGAAGTTCATCACCTAAGGAAGATATTCCATTTCTCCCATAATCATCATCCAAATATATAGCGATGACCTCTTTCCACCCATAATAAACAATCAAGTCAGCCACGGCAGCCATTTGGTACGAGTCACTTAAAGCAGTTCGAAGGAAAAAGGGGAGTTGAAGACTTGATAATGATGGATCAGTGGCACCATATGATACTTGAGGAACTTGTAGACCATTAACGATCTGAGAAATCACATGAGCCACCACAGAGGACTGTGGGCCAATGATGGCCACAACCTCTTTCTCCAGTACCTGCAAAGCTACCCCCACGGAGAAGGGGAGCGTGGAGATGGACAGAATCATGAAATAAAGATTAACCAGAATTTTATTCATCTTCGGCTGTTTTTATGTAAATTTCCAAAATATTAAGGTATGAGATCATTATTTCCTTGCCATCGGCTATCAGACGCCTAAAGAAAAAGATGAATTATTAAAATATAACTGGAGTACCTGATTATTACCTTGGATTTGTAAGGTTATCGCAAACAAAGTTCCACGTTGATTAGGGAAGGGGATGATTATGGGTTTATAAAGATAGGACAATTATCTACGTTAGAGAAAAAGACTTTAAATTGGAAGGTGCCCTCTTTTTGTTCTCGACTCCGCCATGAATGAGTACGGATAACAGAATCCAAAAGAAAATGTGGAAGAGCAAGCTTGGGTTAAACCAGAGCAACTCAGTCTCAGAGAGCTTGGTAGTAAATAAACAGGAGATGGAACTATTCTTCGAACAGGAGCCGCCGATAGGCAGCTTAAAAATGAAGCAAAGGAACAGTAAATAGAAAGAGAGGGGAGAGAGAGAGGGTAAATACCTCCAACGGTGCCCAAGAAGCCACTGCAATTAGCGTCCTCCATCAGCAACTTCAGCTGTGTCCCATCCAAAATTTTGGGGTCCGCGTTTATGTGGGAGATTGCTGCTTCCATGGCTGGCTTTGCAGCTCTACCAATAACGGAATTGAAAGTAAAAACCGCACCAATATTTACGGCAGGCTTTTGGCACCAGATCGGACCAGTGAGAAGCAGCCATACCAAAGTCCGCAGCGCTAGAGCTGCAAACTTTCTCATAATATAGAAGCATATGAACCACCCAAGCACTTGGTTCAGAAGATTTGCTCCACTGCGGGGTTTCTTATGATCGGGAGAAAAGAAAAACAACAAATTTAGTAAATAATCCAGAGATGTTCGTTCAGATTCCCATTCCCAATAGCAATTACGACTACAAGTACCTCAGCTCTGTTTCAACCTCAGGGAACTGCCCACTTCCCGGTTTGGGATAATGATTGTGGAAAGAAGTAAGAAACAAAGACTATTCAAAGCAACATATGTCACAAAGTATACGCAACTTGCACGACGTGGAAACGAAAAGAAAGAGAAAAAGGAAAAAAAGTAAAAAAACAATATAAATGAATGGGAAAAGTACAGATGATTAACAAAAAAAATTGATCATCAGAGCTCAGATGGAGGGTAAGTCAAGTGAAGTCAAAGAGAGAAATTTCGAGAGTTCATATTTACATACATCCAAAATTAGATTATTTAAAAGAAAAGTGAAAACTAAAAGCAGCATGTGCATCTCATTTCATGGCATTACTATAACCGCGTTATTCCATTAACACCCTTCACATGACATGAAATCTTTATTATTATGTAAAAAGAAAAAGGTTAAGCTTAAGACCGAGCCGTCTCAATCTCAGAAGAAAAAAGAGGACCGGGCCGTCTTTATTCTCTGATACATGAATTTCCTATTGGCTCCTGCCTCACATTAGAAGCACTTATACTCCAATCCCATCCAACACGCAATCAGCCTATGTTAAAAGAAACTATCCCCTTTTTTAGTATATGATTTAAAGTTTGTAATGATTTAATCATATCATAAATTTTTTTATTGAGTTTCTTATATACGTAGACCGATAAATCTATAAAAAACCACGTATGTTTATAAATTATAAAGATGATACGATAAAAATCGACATTTAATTTTAGTAAGATCTTTCACACGAGGAACTAAATTATTATAAATTTTTAACTAATAGGGATTAAATTATTAAATATTAAAGTTCAAAGACTAAATTGTTGTCAATTTGAAAATACACGAACTAAATTGTTACAAACTAAAGTTAAAGATTACACTGTTACTACAGTAAAAGTATAGATACGTTTTTACGCGAGGGATCTAAGGTTGTTTTGAATACCCTTTTGAAACGTGGTTTTAAAAAATTTCCATGTTGGGGCATCCTCACTTTTACACTTTCGTCTTTCATCTTTTATTTATATATATATATATATATATATTATTTCATCTTCAATTATCGGTGAACTATGCTCACTTTGTCTCTAATGATAAGCTAATGTATATAAATATGATTGACAAGTGAGGCTAGAAAGAAAATCATGTAAAAATATATAAATAATGGTACACAAATTTTAAAAGTTTACCATATCTGTAAGATCATAAATCTATTGTTATATTTAAAAATATGCGAATTTAACCCATTAAAAAATTTTAAAAGACAAAGCTTAAAATAAAATAAATATAAAAAAACTGAAAATAAGATTTAACCAAAAAAAGACAGCACCACGAAACAGGGGTAGTATCGAGGTTTCATTAGCCAGAAAGGTTGTTTTCGTCATTTTAGATCGCTCGAAGCGGATGACAAATTTTTTCGGATAGCATGCTCTCCTCTCGTAGCAGACCATTAATTTGAATTCTTCACTGGGATAGGCTATGGCTTCCACGCTAACCATCCCATTCCAAACCAGGTAAAAGCCCTAAATTAGTTCACAGTATTGTCTTTCTAGGTTCAAATATCTTAGTATCAACTGTTGGTGGACTTGTAATTTATTATATTTTCTGAGCAAGCTCGGAACTTTGTCTTTGATTGGGTTCCTTTTCTAACCATGGAGACGCTCTGCTATTACATATTCCATTATGGAGTGTGAATTTCTTTAGTAATTGGATTAGAGATTTTGCTATATTGAATAGCCCATAATGGACAGGGAAGCGTTCCTTTTTCCCCATATTTTCATCTTAGTGCACATTTCCATGAATCTGGGGCTTCCAAGATGTGTTTATTTCGTTGTCGTGAACACAGAGCTAAGTTTTTGGGTTTCTTGATATGAGGTAGCTTTTCTGGAGATTATTGGTGGCTACAGTTCAAAGCTATTTGTTTGGAAAGAACTTAACGTACTCTGAGGACTTCTTTCTACGCCATAGTGAACTTTTGAGAGAGCCCCTCTACGTTTCTAGATGATTTATTAATACTAGGAAAATTAAAAAAAAAATTAATTTTTTTAATTACAATATTCAAGCCAATTGGAGGGTTTCTTGAACATCATGGGCTGATTGGGAGGTTATGTCTCCATTTTTGTAATTATGATTCGGATATGTCTGTATTTTTTGTTAAAGCTTCAGGAAGAAATTATTTCAGGTATTTAGCCACCAAGACTTTGTGAACTAACCTTGAACTTCAATAATTCTAGCTTTCTACTTTTCTTAGAAGCCCATAGCAGTAGTACTAATGCAATATATGCGTCTGTGAATTATTTGTTTCATTTTGCATCAAGGGGATCCAGAGATGAATCTGGATTCTTGAATTCAAATATATTTAGTTATATAGGACTATTTATTGCAACCTATTATTTCAATAATGGTAGTTAAGTGAAGAGTTAATCAGCCTTGGAAATGATCTTGGTCAAAATGAAAGGGTGTAAGAATACCTTTATAGTTTTGGCCTCTCCCCTAGAGAACAAGCTTCCAAGTTTAATTGCGGTGGATCTCAATTATCAAGTTAAAGATTCAACTTGGGTCTAATTAACTACTTAAGAAACAAAGGGTGTATTTAACACCAATTCTTAGTGGGGGAGGGAAGAAAAATTAAAAGGGGGAAATGATCTAAACAGTACAGTGAACTAGTTAATCTTACTTTTAAGGTTAATTATGAAAAGAATGGTAATCTTATTTTGTCAGTTGGGGAGGATTGATGGTATTTTCTTGGTCTATATAGAGAGGGTTGGAGTGCTTTATCCTGTTTTTTCAATTTCTTTAATGTAATCTCTAGTCGCAGGGTTATTCTTGTAACATTATCCTCCCATTTCTTGTATATATTGGGCTCCTTGCACTTGGAGAGTTATAAGGAAAGTAGAATGATGGACGTTTCCTGAACATGGGGTGGGCGTGGGTCTATTGGGAGTTCTTTCTCCACTCTTTTAATGCGCCAAATTGTGTTTAATAGAGATGCCCCTAATGTTATGGGCTCAAGTAAGCTTATAGAGTGCATCAAGCTTGGCCTTGGATAATGTATAAGAATAGGTTGAGCTCCCTGCAATAGGAATCTTATGACTAAAAAATAAAGAATAAGAGAACACCATTGTGGGTTTGAATTTGTTCCAAGGACATGGGGGATATGATATTTATACTGTTGAGGACTTGTGTTATGTGTCTGATATGGGGAAAGAAAAAAAAAAAAGATATCAATTTTATTTGTCTATATTTCTTTTGTCTACTCTTGTTTCAATTTCTTTAATGTAGGGAATGGTTTGATACAGAAACTTGAGCAGCCTAGATTTGTTCATTGTAGGTCGTGGTTGTTTGTAATTTGATCTTTCCTTTTCTAAAAGCAAACATTCTAAAATTTGAAACCATTTCCTCATTGTGGCTCAGCAATTTTCGGTCTACATTTTTGGGAGAGAAAAATGGATTCTCTGTTTCTACAATGCCTGTATGTCACATTGGTCTCTTGAGGAAGACTATAGAATGCAAGGAATCACGAATAGGGAAGCAACCTATTCAAGTGCCATCCAATGTAATCATCGCACTGCAGGGCCAGGATTTGAAAGTTAAGGGTCCTTTGGGAGAGCTCTCAATACTTTATCCAAGAGAAGTGAAGATTGAGAGGGAAGATTCTGGGATCTTAAGGGTTAAGAAGGCAGTGGAGACAAGAAGAGCCAAGCAAATGCATGGGCTTTTCAGGTAATCTCATCATGGATTTAATATTCTATGATTTTGTCTCTTCCTCTTAAGTTTTACTTCACATGGGTCATTCCGTTTTTACGTATCTTTGCCAATTTTTTTTGCCTCCTATGTAGCTGCCCTACTTTACTATCAGCTTCAAAAGAGTACTTGCTTCTGTAATCAAGTTGATCACTTTTTAGTCAATAATTATTGAAATACTAGTATGGATGAAAATACTTGTGGAGTGGCCAACTCTAGATATTTGCTCCTTTTTAATGATTATTTGTGGACGGCTGGAAAGAAACCAATTAATCTCTCTTCAAATTCTGAAAAATCCAAGATGACTTCATGTTGTCACTGCAAACAACCAGCTGCTGTGCTCAGTCATTTGAAATAAAGTTGAATGATGGGAAAAGAGTAAAATGTTTTTTCTCTTACCAAATGTAGCCATTCTGAATATGACCATTTCAATTGATCTACTCAGGACGCTTACAGATAATATGGTGGTAGGAGTATCCAGGGGGTTTGAGAAGAAACTTCAGTTGGTCGGTGTTGGTTATCGAGCAATGTTAGAAGGAAAAGACTTGGTATTAAATCTCGGGTTCTCTCATCCAGTTAGAATGGCCATTCCTGACGGTCTTCAAGTAAAGGTGGAAGAAAACACCAGAATCACGGTTAGTGGATATGATAAATGTGCCATTGGTCAGTTTGCCGCTTCTATTAGACAATGGAGACCCCCGGAACCGTATAAGGGTAAAGGAGTGAAATATGCTGATGAAGTTGTCAGAAGAAAGGAGGGGAAAGCAGGGAAGAAGAAGTGATGCTTCGTTATTCATTATTTGTTTCTCTCTGTTTTTGGGATATTTGCATGTCTTTCTAGTATCAGAAAGGATTATTGGCATCATAATTTATAAGAGTTCGTCTTTTTTCCTCCCTTTTCTTGGTAAATTTTCAGTTAACATCATCATTACTTATCAGTTCCAACCACATTTTTAACAGTTGGGAAAATGGTGATGAAAGATCATCCAGTTTTTACTTGCCTATTTATCTTGGACACAACTTTCTTCCCGTGCTGTGTATGCGTGTGATAAGAATTGAACACTGCAGACTTGTAAATTTCATTTATGATGTGTGCATGTGCAAGGAGGTACGCACCTATTATGAAGCGATTTGTGGTAGCCATCGTATCCGCCTCTCCTACCTGCATATTGACAGTCATCGAACGTGAATAGCATCTCTAAAATGTAGTTATAACTCTATCCGGATTAAACTTTGGCAGAACTAGATGAAATTTCAAGTGTAAAACCTATTTAACAAACTATAGTTTTTCATGAACTGCAATTGCAGAGATTACAAACCGTTTACCTAACAGAAAGCATGAAAACAAGATTAGCAATCTTATTCTTTTTCACTTTTGCTTCAAGAAATTTCACATTTTCACTTTGAACATCATGCAGAATATTTACATCTGTCATTGCCGTGAAAAACTCAGGATCAAAAGAACCAACGCTCGAGCAGTAACACGAATATGAAGATAATAGAAGGAATCAGGATTAAAAAAAAATGAAGCTCAAGCAGTAGGTATTCATATTCTTCCTCGTTTCCCCTCAGTCGTTAGAATTAACCGTCCATTTTACATTTTCTGCGTCGCTCGTTTCAAAAAAAAGCACACACAACAGGAAGGAAATCATGCAGGGAAGCGATCCAAAGAAGAAGGAAAAAAAAAACATAAAACAACAAAATGAATCAGCGTCAAAGAGCATCGAAAGAAGCAAGAATGATAAAGCACAGAGCAGATATTTCACTCCGGACAAATCGTAGCAAAAACAAATAGCAATGTGCAGAAGAAGAAATCGAAAACGTGAATTCAAACGAGGAAACATGTTTTGGCAGACAAACGAAATAGAACAAACGGAAGTTAACGAGATGAAACAAACAAATAGAAGAGGTAACCATACCAAACGAAATGCAGAGCTACGAAGAAAGAAGAATCGCCAAGGAACACAATCAGAGTAAAAAAGAAGCAGCAACAATGTGAAAACGAGCAAAATGAGAACCAAATGTCGAATGAAAATACAAGTTCACCGAGTAGAAAACCAGGGGAATTGCCAAGGAACATAATCGAAGTAAATGAAACAGCGACAATATGAAACAAGCAAAAGAGAGAACCAAATATCGAACGGAATTACAAATTCACCAAGTAGAGAACCACAAGGTTCAGTATTACTTACGGAGTAGGTCGTGTTTCTAATCTATCTCATGGCAGTTTCTTGAGCTCACAATCTTCAACGAGAAGAGCAGAGAATGGATCTTCATATAGGTCCAATTTCAGATTAATTCGAAGGACCATGGAAATGAGTGCGAAAATGAAGATGAAATGCAGGTCCATACGTGTTCTCGGCGGGAAAGGAATATTTATACTCGAGTCGAGCCGCACGGACTATTGCGCTGATGAGAATGGTTAATAAAAAATTTGGAGCTTTTTTCATATACATCCCTATCTAGAATTAGGGATTTTTTTTTAAAATATTACTAATTTTAAAATATTATAACTTTCCATACCTATTCCAAAAATAATGCTTCAAAAATTCTTATATCACTAAATCATCTCTTAAAACCTAGTTCATTTCTATAAGAAAGGGTCGTGTTAAGAATTAGTGCAAACATGTGTAAATTTATTTTTTAACTAGTATTTTCACGTTTTTAAGAGTTATGCTTGAGAGTTAAAGTTAACTAAGTAGTGAATAAACTAAGAAGTGAATGAGCCAAAACGAGTATAGTTCAGCGGTAATTGACATATATCTTCAACTAATAAGTTGTGAGTTTGATCCTCTACCGTCACATGTTGTACTAAAAAAATATGAGTGAATATGTATCTTAAGAGAATTTGTAGGTTAGTGACTTAGTGGAGTTGTGATGTTGGATAAAGAAATTTTGAAGCGTAGGGATCTAAACAGTGGGTTAGTTGTCAGTTATTTTTTTTTTTTATAAATACTTGTAACAATTCTTAATTCAATAGTTATTATTAGAGTTTCTCTCTTACTTCTTTTGTTGTTCTCTCTCTTTTTCTTTTTTTGTTACACATCCTTACATGGCATGGTATGTCGCAAGCAGTCAAGTTACTTAAGTAAAAATCTCTCTTAAAAAGAAACACAAACCTAACATTTTTAATTTTTTAATTATATATCCAACTTTCTAACTAGAGATCCTAGAATCAATCACTAACATAGTAAAATACCTCATAATTATAACCATCGCTAATAATAATCAGTATAGTTAAATTTGTTTACTTGAAAGTTCAAATTTCAAAAAAGAAAATAATAATTGTATCAAAATTACCTACCTATTAATATTAAAAGGAAAAAAAAAGAAATTAAACATCTCTATTCATTAATCTGAGATTTTCTCTCTTTTAATGAGACCGAGGCGATGCTCTATTCAATTATGAAACTTCAATTCACACGTCTTCAATGTTGCACTTCAAATTTTTACCCTTTTTTGACCAATAATTCGTTGTTGCAACTCACTCCAAAGTAATTTCTTTCTTGTCATCCCACTTGTTTAACCTTTTGACTGCTTCTTCCACCTGCAATTTCACCCAAAACTGCTGTTATTTTTCCTTCCCCCCAGCCCTAATAGGATACATTATTTAAGTCTTTTTTTCCAAAGTGTAGAATACAATACTAATTGCAATATATATTTTTACATGGAGATAAATTGAGTTATTCAAATCAGATTGAAATTTTTAATTAGCACCTGCAAATTATCAATTTTAATTTGATATTTTTCTTACCTCTTTATGCCAATTCGTTCGAAATGTCACCCATACCAAAATGGCCGTCTGCATGAAAGTTCCACCTATCATCCCAATCCATATACCCTGCACATAAAATTACACCATACTAAATTGTAATTAAATTTCAAAATAAATACCAAACTATCACTAAATTCTAAATAATATCTTTAGCAAAATTGTAACAAGTTAATTATCAATTTCTATTTGAATTGAGTAATAATATTAAAAAATAGTGCATTCATGTTCTATAAATTCTAATTAATGACTAAAGCAATTTAAATTAGTTAAATAAGAGAAAAATCAACTTTTTATTATTCAACTTGACAAGTGAATCCATTTTTACTTTCGATTTTCAACTCTAGATGTAGACAAATGTTACCATTTTTATAGTTTATTAAACCACGTGAATAACATACAAAATCTTATTTATTTATTTTTAAAAGAAAGATAAAATTATGGCTCAATTGCATGAAATTGATGAGATTAAGAAAATTTATTCAATGGTCCGTTGTTAATTTGTTTAGGCTTGATTTTTGTTGAAATTAGTAAAGTTTAAAAAAAAAATTGAGTAAATATTATATGGAAGTCGTAAAAGTCACCCCACTTATTCAAATTTAATGAAATTAAACCTATAGAATAACAATTGAACTTAGCTTCGAATATAATACCTTGGCACCAAATTTGAAATAAAGGCCAAGGACGGCACCTAAGGGAACTCCAACCACATAATAGCAGCCGATGTTTACATAGGCCACGAAAGCTTGCCACCCGCACCCAACCGCCACACCTTCGTATTAACATATTTAATAAAGGAAAAAGAGAAATGAAATTCGAGTTTCATTTGATAATATTTTATTTTTTTATATTTTAAAAATCGAGTTGTAATATGTTGAATATTTTGATTTTTTTTTCAAATTTTATTTTTTTCAAATTTTATTTTTTTCAAATATATTTTTAAGAGACGTCAAAAACCATAAAAATTGAAGGAAAAAAATCCAATATTACAAAAAAATAAAATTAAAAACGAAATGTTTATTAAAGATAGAGTTCTGTGAGAAGTGTTGATATATGTTTTTGTTTAATTTATAGAGGTGTGAAATACCAGATAAGACAGGCTGGATCCCGTTGAGAAGGAGGGTAAGAGCAAGAAGAGGGCACAGATCCGACACGGCGGCGGCCACGTCGGCACCTTCTGTGAACGCGTAGCTGATGACGTTGCGGAGTGCCAATACAATTAAAGCGCAGATTGCAGAGATGATGAAGGCGATGACTGTCACCACCACCACAGAAAATGCCGCCGATTTGGGATGCCCGCTTCCCAGTTCGTTGCTCACTCTCACACTGCAAATGAAAAAAAAAAAAGAAAAAAAAAATTCAGAACTCGTTGGGTAATATTTATGTTCATTTTTAATAAAAAAATAAATTACATAATCCTAACTTCCATAAATTTAAAATGGTACAACATCCTTTTTATTTATGATTTATAACAAATTAGAAATGAAAAACTTGGTTTTTATTGTTTTCAAAATTTTTAAGAATATTTCTAAAAAAAATGAGAAACAATAAAAGATAAATATAGTTGTAAAATGTTTATATTTTTAAAAAAAATTAGAAATGAGAAACAATAGGTTATTTTTTCAACTATGCTATTGTTGCTTTTTCCTTTTCTCATTTGGCTGTTTTTATTATAAAATTATTTAATTTTAGATTGAATGCGTAAAAGAAAGTTTATTATAATAAATAATGTAATAATAATATTAAATAAAGTGTAAAAAAATTTATTTACTCTTCTCATTCTCATTCCGATTGATTTTCACTACGAATGATTTCCATTAGATTGAGAGTAAGTAAACGGGATCTTAAAGTTTAATTTCAAAATAATGATTTCACAATACATTTTCAAAATAATAAAAAAAAAGACTGTTTCATTAAACAAAAATAAAATGGAATAAATAACAAAAGGGGAAAAAGTTTCACACGCTAGCTGAGAGTAAAGGCCGTATTTACCTGGCGGCGGCGTTGAAGCCGACCGAGATCATGAAAACCCATCCAGATATGGTCGTGCTGCAAATCACCGCATGATTTAAGAAAATTAAATTAATAAATAAACCAAACATTTTCTTTCTTCAGATGTAAACCAAACTTCCATCCGACCAACAGGCAACAGCCACCGCACATGACTTGCCTATAATATTTAAATATTTACAAATTACCACCATTAAAAAAAGAAAAAGAGAGATAGCTAGATATTTATTTATTAATAAAAAAGAATTATTCTCTGTCTTCAATTTTTTAATAATAGTTTGTAGGAGATTATTACGGATGGATAAATACTTAAATATTATTCAGCTTTGTAGACATCAGCTACCTAATATTCTACTTACAATTGCAGAATACTAGTAAATGTTTTATAGGTTTTTAATAATAATGATAATAATGATAATAAGATTTTTGTCTCACCCCTTATCTGCTGTCTCTGTTTCTATCTGTCAAAAAGTTAGTGGGCTCATGCCCTCGGCTCTATAAATAGGGAAGTATAGTCTATTACATTTCCATCGAAAAAGCCAATTCAATTTGTCTATCTCACTCCAAAATGTCAATTCAAGAGAGTGAGTCATTAAATAATGGCTTCCACTTTTTTTTTTAATCACAAAATGACAATATATACATCAGGTCCCCAATCCCATCCCCGTCAGCCCCAGCCATTTTCCTCTTCCCATGAACTTTATAAATTAAATATTTTCCAAACTTAAAAGTATAAATTTGGTTTTAAATTTTCAAAACTATGATCATTTATTCTTTGCATTAAAAAAAACCAATTATGTCGCGAGTTTTTAAGTCATATCACTATTGCTTACGTGTGCATGTTTGCTACATTAATTAAAAATTAAATGACTTGACCTAACAATTAAAATGTTAGGTGGATAAACTTTCTCGTCCTAAAAAGTTTTACTACTTTTCTTCATTATTTATTGAACTATACACCTACGAATGATCTAAACAAATAAAATAGTATGTCAGTTTGTGAAATATTGATGGATAGGTACTACCATAGGATTACAAATTTATTTTTTCGAGTGGACAAACTAATGACGAAGCTAAAACTTTCTTAAAAAATTCACATAGTTTTTTCAACTTTAAACTCACCATTAATCTACCTATTCAAACTTTCAACACTTCAGTTACCATATCGCATCATATAATCTCTAATTAATCTAATGAAAGTAACATGTTTTTCTATTTTAAATTAGAGGCTAAATTTAAATTATGGATCAAGCAAGTTCACAGTTTAACTTAATTTTGTGAGATAAGATTCAGGGAATACTTACTTCTACTTACCACTACTAAAAAGTTTATAGAAAAATAAAGAAAAACTATAATAATTAGCTATCAATATTTGAATAATGATAGTTATAAATATATTTACTAATATGCAAGCAACTAAATTTTATCAAATTATTTATAAGAAGAAATTAGAAAAATACTTAACCTTACCAATAAGAACATATATGCTCCGTCATTGAAAAATTGACAGTTCATTACTTTTTTAAAAAAAGTTATTTGTTTTTGCATTTCTTTCACTTGAATGCATTCAACGATGATCAAAACCTATGTTGATAAAGGAGCTATGTATCTTTTAAGAAAATAATGGAAGGAAGAAAATACTTGACTCGATGAGAACCAAACTTTGTCCTCACCGTCATTGAAAAAATTGACTACTTTTTGCATTTCTCTCATAATTATCAAATATTGAATGATAACGAAGATAATATTGGTCCATACTAGCAAGGAGTCAAAAAAATTTCTTAACTTCTTCCCGGGACTACCTGTCTCATCCTCATTATTTTGACAATTAAAAGAGAAATGTAAAAGATTTGTTCCGGAAAGTAGCAAAGTATTTTGGAAAGAAACGTGAAGAGTTAGAAAAGTACCAAACAGAAAGGGAGTCGAGAGCGAGCTGAGGGTTGTCGAGCAAGCCAGCAAGCAAGACCAAAATTTGGAAATACCACGTCTCTAAGCACAGCATCACCGCCGACGCAATCGACAACTTGAGAAAACCCAGCAGCCCCGAAAACGCCTGCGGGCTGAACCCCGACCAAGTCTCCTTACACTTCTCGCTCTTAACTATGTA